GACAACCCACACTCCTGACTTTGCCAGTTCTCTGGGGTCTCCACGGCACCATCAGCTTCATGGACGTTATTCACACACGGTGCTCTCAGGAGCACACCATCAGGCCTCAAGGCCTTCTGAAATTCGGGTCAAAGCCATCCTGACCCTACAACTCTTGCATTGTGCGTCCACCTAAAACCAGATGCCAAGGTCTGCCAGCAGCTGGAACAGCAGCCAGGCTCCCTTGGATCATGGCTGTAGAAGTCCAAGTGCCTGGATGGCTGCATACTGTGAATCGACTCACAGGGAGCAAATTTCCTAGGCAGCAGCCATTCTTGAACACAGTAGCCTGTGGCTTCCTTCTCAGAGCACTTCTGCAATTTTGAACCTGTGGAGGGTGAGGCCTTACTAGTTCCTCATATGTCCTCAAGGGATTTTTCCCATTGTTCTGCTGTAAAGTACTTGGCTTCTTTTTATTTATTTATTTTGTGGTACCAGAGATCACACCCTGGACCTTGTGCTTGTGAAGCAGGCACAACAACATTGAGCTAAATCCCCAGTCCATTTGGCTTCTTTTTAATGCGAATCTTTTCATCAACCAAGCTGCTGTGCTCCAACTTTGCCAGCCCTTCCTTTCTGAGGAAATTGGAAACTTTTAAAATGGGCTTTTTTATTTTCAGTATAAGTCTGGATAAAAGCGGTAAGCAGTATCCATGCTACAGCCCAAATGTTGGGCTGCCTTGAAATCTCTTCTCCCAGGTTGATTAGCCTGCTGCCCTTAATCTTAGTCTCCTGCAAAGTTTCAAGATATGAGCAAAATGTAGACAAGTTTTCTACCAGAGCCTAACACACATGCAAGACCTTGAGTCCAACTGCAAATGCAGTTCTTCTTCCCAACTGAAACCTCTTGAGCATGGTCTTTTCTAACTGTGTTACTGTAAGCATTCTGGTCTTCTGTGCTCCAACCAGAATCTCTCATCAAGCTCAGCTCATATTCTAGCATTGTAGGGCTGCTTCTCCAGACAGCATCTGAAAGCCTTTCCAAATATGCACGCTCCCCCCAATAAACTAGCTCCAAAGTGCAAGTACATGGTCAAGTACAGTCACAGAGACAACCCCACTCTCGGTACCAAAATCTGTCTTAGTTACTTTTCCCTTCACTGGGACACAATATGCAACGCCAGCATCTTAAGGAATGAGAAGTCCATCACTGGCTGGCTCCAAAGCATGGCAGAGAGGCATGATGAAGGACAACTGCTCACGACGAGGTGGTAGGGAAGTAGAGAGAGAAAGGCAGTGCTGAGGAAGAAGAGGAACCCTTTCAAGCTACACCCCTGTGACCTGTCTCCTCCTGACTCACCTCCCAACGGCAGGCCAGCCCTCCTGAGCTGCAGTCGTCACCCACACACCCTGCCTGTGATATCATGAGGCTTTGGTGGACATGGAGACAGAAACCATAAAGCTCCAGAATCACTGAAACTCAGGCTGCAGCCTTGGGCTCCTTCTCTGACTCCAGTGCTCCTGAAGACATTGAAGACCCTCAGGAAAATAAACCTCACGAGCTTGGCCCTGCACTGCTCCACTCCTGTGATCCAGTCTTGCGTTTCCAGTTCACACACAGAACCAATTGATTCCCATTTCAACTTTCCAAAGGCTCCCTGTCCTCTCTTGATGGAGTCTGGGGTCCTCCAGCACCTGCCACCCAGCCTGAGTCACCTCTCCCAGCCCTCTTCTGCTCCCTTCTTCCCCCCACCGTCCCGCTCTCTCCAGCTGCAAACTCCTGCAGGTTCTGGAGCTTCAGGACCCCTTTCTGCCCCTCCCTCCACCCAGCCCCCTGCCCCAGCATGCTCTTGTCCTCCTGCCTCCTCCTCTTCCTCCCCCTTCCCCTGCAGCCTCAGTGCTGAGTCACCTCCTCTGGGAAGCTGTTGACAGAGCAGTGCGCCACTGATGTTCTCGGAGCCGTGGGTTCCGACTTCAGCCACATCGACTGCATTTTAATGGCCCGGGTGCCGTCAGCCTCCTCCACCAGATGCCTGGCTCCTGGCACACGGCAGGCACTCTGCAAAATCAATTTGAAGTAATCAATGTACAATTTAAACAACAGCAACAAATATAACCAGAAAGGAGCCTTCCAGTGGCCTTGAAGTGGCGTCGTCCCAGTGCACAGGGCGTGGGGGAAGGGGTCACAGTAAGGGCTGCAGTTCAAGACCTGGGGCCGTCAGTCTGCTGCTGCATTCCCGTCTGCATCTCCATGGTGGGTGGGAAAACGCTCGCACCCCCAGCACACAAGGCGGCAGTGGGGGACAGGGCAGCCACTAGCTCCCGCTGTCCCAGGCGCCCACCCGCCAGCGCTTGCAGCTCCTTCCTGGATCCTCAGCTCACACAGTGGGGACTGAACCCCTGCAAAGGCTTCCTGTCCGGCCCTGGCTCCCTCCTGGCCAGACGGAGTCCACAGGGACAGAGGACTTGATTTAAACTCACTGTTCCACCCGGCCATGCCTAAGTGAGGTACCAGCCCTGCACGTTTCCTGGAGGTCGTTTGGCTTCATGATGCTCCTGGCATCTGCTTCTCCTGGGCTTCCTTACTGTCCCCTACAGACCCCAGGTCCACTTGGGCATGAAAAGCACTGGAGCAGCCTGGGACCCAGGCCCAGACCATTACAGCAAGGGGCAGCTCACTCTGCATGATCCAGCCCCAGATGTGACGTTTCCAGAATTAAAAATCCTCCTGAAATAGATGCCCTAATGAGGCAAAGACGTCCACAGAATAAAGACTAATGAAGCCAGCTGTGGCGGTGCAGGTCTACGATCCCAGCACTCTGGGAGGCTGAGGGTCACAAGGTCCAGCCCAGTCTGAGTGATTGAATAATTCAGCGAGATCCTGTCTCAAAATTAAAAATAAAAACAGGGCTGGGGATGTAGTTCAGTGCAAGGGCCCTGGGTTCACTCCCTCGTACATAATATGTCAGGCATTTGACAACTTAACCTGCTGGCATCGTTTAAGACTCATGTCAGCTGTTTCCATGGTATGGATGAGTAAGTTGGGGCTGAGGAAGTTTCCAGCTTGGTGAAGGGTGGTGGCTGCACGCACGTGTGTCAGTGGGTGGGTGCTGGGTGGCCGACGCAGAGGAAGGCAGAGTGGCCTCATCACACGCTGTTGAACGCTGGAGCCCCTCACACGGAGAGCTCTGTGTGTCACCAGGCGGGGCCAGACAAGGCTGGAGGTGTTCCCCGGTGCCGCAGAGCCACGCACTTTAGACGTGGATTATGGAGAGAACCTTCCACTTCTTAAACTGATGGCTTCAAGGGCAGGGAGAAGGGGAAAGGGAAAAAGGGAACGAAGGTGTGTCATGTACAGGTACCAACTCCCTGTGAGGAACGTCACCATAGGCACCGCATACGTGTGCTAGTAAAACATTGATAGTCAAGTTAAATGGTGGCTTGGGAGCCAGAGGATTCGCTCAGCTCTGCTATCACGTACCGTGCCGCCTTGGACAAGTTGCTGAATGCGTCTGGGCTCAGCTTCCTCGTGTGTGAAGTGGGGAACGTGCCGATGGGCCGTGTCCTCCAGTCGCCCCTGACAGTGGGAGCTCAGGGTCCCCTGCAGGGCCTCACCACACTCCTGGGGTGGGCCAAGGACCCTTCCGCCCAGCTGGTCACCGAGGCAGGTGGACACGAATATCCCCTGCTCTTGGTGGCCTCTGCGCTGTGGCTTTGTCTCAGGGGCCTCTGAGGAGCTTGGGCTCTGCTGGAGCAAAGGACGCGTGTCCAGCAGACAAGGGGGCCTGGGGTGGCAGCGGGCGGTGTCCTTCATGACACCCCTAGGAAGGATGCGGAGGGAAATGGCTTCCCACGGTGCGGCGCTCTAGGGTGGAGCTGGGCAAGGTGAGGAGAGATGGCAGCGTCACCCTGAGATCCCCATGTCACCCTGATGGAGGCACCTCTGGCCAAGGTCCGTTCGTCAGCTCTGCTGCCCCAGAAGCCTGAAAATCATTTACCGGCCACTCCCTCACTCCCTCGTCTGCCAGTGCCGTCCGCGAGGAGGAAAGCAGAACGTCAGGGTCCCTGACGAGGGCTGGGCTGGAGAATGACCAGCGGACTCGTGGCGGCACCGCGCCCTCCACCCTGTGCTGCGTGGTTCTGCCGGAGTGCTGAGGCGCTGTTGACAGCTGCTCACGGCAAGGGTCACAGATGGGGACCTGAGGCTTGGGGCACCTGGCCCATGATCAGAGGGTCTCAGCCTCTTTCCTGTTACTGGGACACAGTGCCTGACACCTGCCGTTCAAAGGAGGGCAGGTTTATTTTGGCTCCCAGTTCCAGTCCACGGCCGGCCAGCTCTGAGGCAGAAACAGAATGGCAGAGGGTCCTGGCGGAGGGAAAGGTGCTCAGCTAATGGCGGTCAGGAAGCAAAGAGAGAGGGAAACAGCTGGGGACAAGAATCCACCCCTGCAGGTCACACCCCAGTGACCTCCTCCCAGCAGAGTTAGCACCCTATGAAATGAGAATTTGGGGAAACATTTCAGATCTAAACCGGAAGACAGAGCTTGTGCATGCTGAAGCTGGGCACCCTGGTGATGCCCATGTGAGCGTTACGCCAAGATGGTGCTGTCTGCTCCCAGAGCACGCACAAGGACAGGATGTGTCCCTTGTAGGAGACTGGCAGGGGGGCGGGCTGACCCAGGAAGATGCCTCCTGGCCTTCCACTGCTGCCTGATCCAACCTCTCCGCATTTCTCTCCCCACATCGCCTATCCTGTCTTTACTTCTCTGTCAGCCCCAGAAAGGGACCCGAGGAAGAGACCAGTGTAGACTTCAGGGTGGACCTCTGTCCCTTCTGGTCATCTTCCTGCCAGCTCTAGGGCCAGGGCCCTGGGTGTGCCGTGCCAGAAACAATGCCATGACAGCTGGGGTCCCTGAGCCCCGCATGTGGGGAGGAATCTGATGTGGCTCTCTGGGGTCTGCCTTAGTCACTTTCTTATCACTGAGACACAGAACCGGACACCCAAACTTGAAGGAGGAGAATTTATTGTGGCTCACAGTTGCAATCCGTAGTCAGCCGGCTCCAAGACAGGAAGGCCTGGTGGAAGGGTCTGATGGGAGAGATGCTTACATCATGGCAGCCGGGAAGCAGAGTAGGAAGTCAGGAGCCAGAAGGAAGACAAGTCCTTCCAGGCCCCACTCCAGTGACCCACCTTTCCCGGCCAGCTCCCACGCGGAACAGCAAGTCAGCCATAGCACCATCATCTAGTCGCCTTCCCAAGCCCCAACTAGGAGCTCACAAGACTGGGCGACGCCTAGGTAGAAACCATAACAGCATCACGACCCATGGCCTTAGTGACCCTCCCATCAGGGAATGAACAGGCTTGGGCTTTCGGCATGAGACTTGTGGTATCATTTCCCCAACAACCCACGGGGGTTCATGATCACCTCCATGAACGAACAGATAAGGAAATCAAGGCTTCTGGACCTCAGGGGCCAGCTCCAGGGGTGGCCTGAGCAGAGAGTTCAGGTGAGCCGGGCCCGGTGCCTGCTCCTGGGCAGTCCCAGAGTCTGTCCCTCTCTCTCCACAGGGGGCTCTGACCAGAATGAGAGTTGATCCCCACAGCTTCTGCTCCAGCAGGGGGAAGGAGGGCTCCTTCCAGGGCTCCGGCCCAGCTTCGGGCCAGGGCTATCCTGTCAGCCTGGAGGCCAGGGTACCCTGGGAAACACCCCGGGAAGGGAGCGAGGCGGTGTGGTGACAGATGGCAGAGGGAGAGCGGCTGTCCCTCCACCGTCCCACCTCTGGTGCCCCTGAGCCTGGGTGCTGGGAGCCCCAGCTGTCGGGAGCCCCTTTTGCAGTGGGTGACATGCGGAGAAGACCCCCTGGTACGCTGAGGCAGCAGCGCCCGCCGGAACCCGGGGGCACAGCAGCACCTGCAGACCTGAGTGCCGCAGGTGGCACGGCAGTGTGTGAGGCAGAGCCCCACAGGACGGCCCGAGACCGCCTGGTCTGCGTGGGAGCCCCAGGCATACACAGGCTGGCAGGGGGACAGAGCCAAGGGGCACAGGTCCCCCCCCAGGGAAGACTCATGGGCCAGGGCTTTGGAGGTACAGCATAAATGCCGCCTTGTCCCTTCTGAAAGGAGCGATTCAGCAGGAGGCCCAGGCTGGGGCACATTCCTGCACGGGCTCATCCGCCCACTCCTGCCATCCCCAAGGCGGGAGCTCACACTGCCCTGCTGGTGACCGATGGCCTGTGACCTCACCCAGGAGCCTGGCCAATCAGATCCCCGCCCCGGAATTTGAACCAAGGAATGCAGGGCAGGGGCGGCCAGAGGCCACAGGAATGCGCGGAGACCCACCAGTGGGATGAACTCGCAGCCCGGCGGGAGGACAGCAGATATGGGGAGGCGGCCACAGAGACAGAGCCCTCCACTGCAAGGCCCGCTCCCTTCCCCCAGGTGGGTGGTGACCTCCTCCCTAGGACAGATCAGGGTCGATGGGCACAGGGTCCTCGGGGCTCCGTGGCTTTGTGGTCACAGTGGCACTGAAAAGCTCTGTGAGTAGAGCAGAGAGAGCACAGGGCAGTGACCGGCCACCTGCCGCCACATCCCAGGCCTCACAGATAGCTGCCTTGGAGGCTTCCCTGACCCAAGGGGCTTTGGCGTCCCCCTGGGGGTGCAGGAGCAGGACTCCCAATTCCTGCCTCTCATTCTAAGGCAAGAACCTGGGGCTCGTGGTTTCACATCTCAGAAATGAGGACAAAGCAGACCCCTTCCTGAGGTTGCTAGGATGTGGGAACCTGGGGCCCCGGTGTTTGGCCTTGGCTGAGTCCCCTCCTCCGGCTGCGGTTTTGTGTGTGTGTGTATGTGTGTGTGTGCACACGCGTTCCTCCAGGGGAGCTGGAGGCAGACTGAGACCAAGGAATCTCCTTCCCTGAGGATTGTCGTACTCAAGACAGCCCTGTGGGCCTGTCCTCACAGACAGCTTTTCCCAAGGCCGGGACACAATACCACGATGCCCTCTTAGAGGAAAAGAGGCCACTTGAGCCCAGGGTGGGCTGGCTCCAATGCAGAAGCATCGTGGCGGAATGGCTGTTAGAGTGAGGCTGCCGGCCTCGTGGTGGCTGCGGAGCAGAGCGCCCGCGAGAGGCCACCTCCCAAACTCCCCTGGCTCAACCCACTCTGAGGCAGTGCCCAGGATGCGGGCACTGCTCCGGTCAGGCTTCCGGTCAAGCTCGACTGCCACCTCACCCGGGGTCTGTTGGAAAAAGACACGCGGTCCCTCAGTGCACATGGCTTGCTGACCGGGCCCTTCCGCCATGACTTCCGGCGGTTAAGCCTGCCAAACATGGATGGAAACCTCCAAGACGTGAGCCAAAGTAGACCTCTCCTTTCAGTTGTGGGTGCCCGGCATGGTGTCACAGTGACAGAAAAGAGGCAAGGACAGTCTGTTCAGCTGGCCTGGATTCCTCGCTGCAGAGAGGCCTCTGGGAGCCTGGTCTGCTGTGGGCACTTTTGTGTGATGCATGTCGCAGTCCACCGCCTCACAATCAGAAGCCCCACTGCATGGTCCCCACTTGCTGTATTAGGAGAGTGGCCACCAGCACCAGTCAGGAATGGGACAGACCCGTCGCGCGGACAGAAGAGCTCAGTATGGGAGACACTGGAGCAGCCACCCTTGCCACATGCGATCGGCCCAGACTGCAGTGGCCCCCATTATAGAGCTGAGGATGTTTTTCAGGTCATAATGTGGTCTCGGCTGGCTCTGTCGCCGTGGTCATTCCCTGCCCGCTGAAACTGGCTACACCTATCTTGGCTGACGCACTTCCCGGTTCTGGACAGACCCAGGTCCCCTTCCTCTGCCCCTCTCAGTGACAATTTATGCAGCCTGTGGTTGCTGCACTTTGGGCTTCTCTCCAGTGACTTCGATCCCTACCCTAAGTCATTAGCCCCGGACCCACCCCCCAAGACTCCCCCGTATCCGGACGGTGTGTCCAGTTTCAGCAGCCCAGAGTGAAGCTCACGACGTCCTTCTACCGTAGCATCGTTCACTTAAGGGCGCACAGTTGCTCATACTTTACCTCTTCCCTTTTCAATAACTCTCACATCTAATTACTTACCAAGTTACGCTCTCTGTATCTCTTAGATGTGTCAACAATTTCAATTTGCTATGGCTGTCATCTCAGGACTCTGGGAGGAGTCACGAATTCAAGCCCAGCCTGAGCTTCAGTGACTTAGCAGGATGAAAATATAAAGTCAAAGAAGAGCTGGGGTGTAGCTCAGCGCGCGGGTCCTGGGTGCAGCGTAGTTCCAGAACTGCAGTGAAAACCTTCTGAGCCATGGTCTGGCCCCTCCAGGAGGAAGAAGCCTGTGGTTCCCTGAAGGAGAGATAGGGGCGTGGCTGTGGGGAGCGTGTCGGGTCAGTCATGCCCTCACTGCCTCAGGAGCAATTACTCCACCGCCCTGGAGGTGTTAGTGCCTCTGGGGGGTCAGCAAGCTGGGTAGTGTCCTTGCTGCCTGTAGTCAGGGCTGCTCCAGGCGAGTGCTGTGCCCCCAGAGGACAGATCCAGGGGCAAAGTGGGAGAGGGGAGTGGGGAGTTGTGGGGAGCCTGGCTCCCAGTGCCCTGCTCCTGGCTCCCAGTGCAACCCATCCCGTCCCCCAAGCCGTTGGATTGAAGGCAGTCGCTAGGTCCAGCCCACACTGGGGAGAGGGGTTTCATGGGGCAGGAGACCAGAGGGCCGGACGCACAGGGTGATGGCCAGGACCCCAGGGCTAGAACCCAGAGTTCGCGAGCGACAGACGGCCACCTGTCCTGTGCAGAGAAGGCCGTGTGTGAAGTCACCTGGAACCGAGTCCCGTGGCCGCAGGCAGGGCGGGCCGCCTCTGCCGAGCTCAGAGCAGGAGGGCTTTGGCTCTGGTTTGTTGCCTGGGGGAGGACATGCCTCCCAGCGCACCTCAGACTCCCTGGATACGATGTGCTCCTCCTCTTGTGTTGTAACCAAGTGGTAACCAGTGAAGCAACACGAGCAGCAAGTCTTTATAGAGCAAGACAGACTCCGCCTCTTCGTAAAGATGGTCCAGACCATGGTGCTTCCCCAGTGGAGACGTTGGCAGTCACAGCAAATGCGGACAGCACAGCTGAATGTCCAGCTGTCAGAGGGCGGAGATTTCACACACCTTGGGATCTGCTCACTTGGCTTTTAAATAAAGTCTCACATTGACCCGTAAAGCTCAAAGGGAGAGAGAAATGCATAAATGGTAAAGGTGCCGCTAACAGAATTTTCACAAGGAAACCTTGTCTTGTAAATGTCCTTCAGGTGTCAAAGCTGGAAACACTGACCCCAGTCCCTCCCACTGCCGACACTGTCCCCCAGGGATAACGAGCGCGGGTCCCAGTCCCTTCCCGTTTGGACGTGCATACGTGGTAGCACACTGCTGATGTGCTCTGTACTTGTCCATCGATCATTTTCGTGAGACTGTTGTGCATGGTAGCGGTTGATTTCGTTTCCACTGCTGCAGAGTATTAATTAGTGTTAATTAGACTGCAGTTTATCCCTACATCCTTCAAACTCTTTCCAATTTGGGGAAACTCTGAGCAGTGCGGCTATGACGGATTTTGCCCTAGGGTAAGTACACGTTCGCATTCCTCTTGGGTCTAGGCCTAGGAGTGGGACTGCTGGCTGTGGGCACACTTACACTCCAGGTGAGTCGTGTCGGTTTAACTGGCGTGGGAGCCTCCTCGTGGGTAGTGCAGCGCCCTGCTGGGTGTGTGTGTGGTCGTGGAGGCCCGACTTTGGGGTCTGTGTCTGGTCCCCGGCCCCTTCCTCCTTGGCTCTCTTCCCCTGTCCGCTTCCTGGCCCTGTGTGGTGAGGGTCTTTGCCGGGGCCTCTGCTGGGTGATATTAGACAAAGATTCGGGAAAGAAAACAAACACCTCTCCGACAGAGGGAGGAGGAGCCGCGAACCAGAGCAGTGGGCAAGTGCCAGGCTGGGCAAGAGGAGGAGGCAGGCACAGGCTGGGCCTGGGAGCTGGAGCAGAGTCCAGACCTTCGCGGCGGGTGCATTGGAAGGTTCTCTATGGAGCGGCAGGACCCTATCCCTTGTTGCCTTTTGAAACTCACTAAGGGGTCTCGGAGATGAGATGGAACAGGCGGAGGCTGCAGAACGAGCTGCGGAAGCCTCCGTCGCCCCGAGGAGGAGGGGTCACAGTCGTCAGTGTCACCTGAGAATCGAGGTTCCGACACCCTACCCTCCATGTCCCTTTCCAAAGCTCGGCACTGTGGTCAGCAGCAGCCCCGCAGCACTGCACAGAAAGCTCCGGAGGCGGACGATCCATCGGCATGAAACAGAGCACCGTGCAGAGAGCCTCAGGAAACCCTGTGCTTTGGCGCCTCCCCACCTTGGACCGAGTCGCCCGTCAGAACACCCACATTGTCCACCACCCACCCCTATTCACCCAACGGCTGCCTTGGCCATCAGGCCAGCGTCACAATGCTGTGTCTGACACCGGACGTGGTAACCCGGGCCACGAGCGTCCCGGTCCTGTGTCTCTCACCGAACGTCGTCTGTGAGTGTCACGTGGAAGGGCAGCACGGTGCAATGGCTTTCCTGCCACCTCTGCAGTGCACAGTGCGTGCCCTCCTCATGGGCAGTGCAGCAGGCATGTGTGATACATCTTCACCCTCCACACCTCTTCCCTGCCTTCTCTCCCTCCACCCATCTCTTGGTCCCCTTCCCATCAGAGAAAGATCCATCTTCCTGTTTCCTATTATCGTTTGTTTTGCTCTTTACTTACTAATTTATTTATTTTTGGTTTTTTGAGACAGGGTCTCACTATGCAGTTGAGACTGACCTGGAACTCACTATGTAGCTCAGGCTGGTCTTGAACTCACATGAATCCTCCTGCCTCCGCCTCCTGAGTGCTGGGATTATAGGCGAGGGCCACCATGTCCAGCTTTGTTCTTTATTTATACTTTGGGCTTCTCATGTAAGAGAAACCTAGTCCAATAATATATTTTGAGACAGAGTCCACGAGCACATCTTTACTAGTACATTGTTATGATCTATTTTGTTAAGTGCCGCGGCTCGCTTCCTGTGCCTAATTTATAAGTTGAGCTTCATTGTAGACGTCTCATATGTAAAAGGAAACTCCCTCTGCGCAGGACTCTGCACCCCTGCAGGCTAGGGCACCCCCGGGGTCTGGGTGCTCACCCAGGATAAGGGGAGACACCTGTTTGCACTGGTGGCGGAGGACACATGGCTGGGCTCCTGGGGCCCAGTGCTGTGTCTCGTGGAGACCCTCGGGCTTTCAGGGTTTGCTGCTTCCCAGGGCTCCCAGGACTGCAGCGCAGCGTGAGGACCGAGTCCCATTTGCACGCACTTCCCTGCGCATGGCCAGCGGTTGCATGATTCCCAGCACAGTGGCCTGTGGACGTGTGGAGGCCGCGTGTGCATCCTGTCCAGGGAAGGATCTGCTCTTCCGGTGGCCCCCGCCCCAGGACGGATGTGAATCTTGTCTCCAAGGTTACCAGACCTGTGTGCCCCGGCCAGCGACGCCTCTGTGCTCAGGAGGAGCTGACGGTGACAGCTGTGCCTCTGACTCAGCTGCCCAGGACGCAGCTTCACCTCTGAGTCATCGACCCGCTCTGCTTTCGAGGACACAGCTGCTCCTTCCCAGGGACGGCGCTGCCTCCACACCCTGCTGCCAGCTGCTGCCTGCCTTGGCCTCGATGCCCAGAAGTCGAGAGGCAAAGCCTGCAGAATGCCAGAGGATGTAGGAGCGTGTTCCGAGGCCAGGTCCCAGGACACCAGGGTTTTGCTCCAGGTCCGCAGGCTGGATCTGGTCCGGGCGCCACAGGCCTGGGCATTTACACAGTGAGCGGTCAGCAAACCACACTTCAGTGTCTGGACTCACAGCTCCTATCAGATGCGGGCCTCAGGCCCTGGCAGTCCCTTCCCTGGACCCCTCACCTGAAGCAGAGCTGAGGTTGCCACAGCACCCTGCCCGTGCTGGGCTCCTTTCCCTCGGGGTCCCTGGGGCTGCTGCTCCGCTCACACTGGACGGGGACAGAACCCGTACCCAAACCGTTTCTGTCACAGTCCCAGGATGTCCACCTCTTGAGCTCCCTGGCCCAGGGAGGGTGAGGTCCAGGCCGGCGCCCTGTCCTGTCTGGGACCAAGGGGCAGGAAGCAGAGGCCCCGTTCCTGCGGAGGACAAGAGGTCAGTCAAGGTCAGCGAAGGAAGGGCGCATCCTCAGGCTGCTAAGCAGCTCCTGCAGCCCGGGGAGCGGAGCCGGGAGCTCAGGGCCCAGCAGCAGGAGGGAATGAGAATCAGCGCCTCAGGGCCAGTCACCGCCCACCGCCCA